CCATCTCACCTGCTTATCCTCTTCTACTGCACCTATGAGGCGTACCACATCATTTGGGACACCATTAGGTTAACTGAATATCTTTTCTATAATTCAAGCTTTCCAAACATTTCAAGGAGTTCTTCATGTTGCACTTTATTGAATACTTTTTTTACAATCTATGAATCGTGAAATTTGCATTCATTCACACCTGGTCTCTTTGGTAGTGCTACGAAGACTGACCTATCAAGGTCCTCTGATATTTCCCTACTGTCATTTCTCACTTTGGTAAACTTGTCAATCCCAATTCATTTAATGATGCCTGCATCTCTAGAACAGCCATATGTCATTTTGTTTCTTTTCACCTTGGCCAGTGCTGACCTAACCTCAGATTTTAATATTACACATCTGTCAATGCTTTTGATGTATTCTGGGTTTTTCTCCTCTGTTGTTATGGAAGAGATCACCAATGTAGTATTCATTCCATCTGTTGTTTCTTCTATGTACCATCTCTCTTCAGGATGTAGACAATCATGGTTCTCCACAATTTCCTGTTCTTTGTAGCCGAGTAAGGTTTGCCTTTTCGCTATCTATTCTGCCAACCATTTACACAAGCTCATTAGGTAGGTTATTTGCTGATTTCCCTCAATATGTCCTGTGAATGTCAAATTCTCCAAGTCCTCTTTCCTCATTACAGACCCTAGAAATTTCAGCAGTCTCTAATGACAACTATATGCATCCTTTTTGTTTCCATTTTCTTTAAAACTTCCTTGTTACTCACATGTTCAGTCCATGGCATTCTCAGTATCCTTCTGTAGAACCATATTTATGTTGCCTCTCCTCTTCATCTTGAATGGAGATCGTCCAGTATAGGACTGATATTATGTAACAGTTCAGTACTTTTTTCTTTGTTTCTAACAAAATTTGACCATTTCTGAATATTTTGCTTAGCTTGGGGCAGAGAGGGGGGAATTTTTTGCTATTCCACTGCATATTTGGTTTTGTTGTTCCATATTCCATCCTGTTAAAACACTTCCTAGACATTTAAATTTTTTTTACCTGCTTGATTTTTGACAACTCCAGTTCAATTCTTCTTGGGGGGGTCTCTGTTCCATTGGTTGTCAACTATACATTATGTCTTTTTACTCCTTCCTTCTTAATTTCTTTTATTATTTTCTCAAGGAGATAACCTTTTCTTTTCCCATTATGACTGCATACATCCCACCAAAGAGACACATTATTATCCATACAAGAGTCCATAATAATAAAAAAAATTTCACACCAACTTCCACATGAAAGGCTATATACAGAAGTGAATAAAGAGATTTCTTATCATAGGCTTTTTTTTGTTTTGTTCTTATCATAACATTTTTCATTAAACATACTTAAGTGATTACACAACACCATAGATATAATATTAGCCTCAGTCAAGTACTGAAAATGTCTCTTAGGGAAATATTATTTTATATATATATAAAAAAAAAAAAAAAAGAAGTAAACTCTTGCTGCAAAATATTCATAAAAAAAAAACAAACAAAATCAACTATTAAAAAAAAAATCAAAAAGTCAAAAATAATTTGGTTATGTCCAAAAGAAAAAAAAATGACACAGATTATTTTCAATTTTGATTAAATATCTATTATGAAAAACAAAATAATAAAATTGATATCCGCCTTTATTTATTTATATATAGTCTTTTCTGGTATAAACTCAATAGAGTTACAAAGCATTACAAAGAAAAAAACATTGAGACAAAAGACGGAGTTGACTTATTAAAATGTCAGTTAACACAGATTTTCACTTCATGGTTATCACACATTTTATAAGCATACAGTACTGTTCCTCCCACTGCCACCATTGCAATTTATTAAGTTTAATATAGCACAAATTAATCAAGGGTGATAGGCTTAGTAAAATTACACTGTATACTTGAAGTCTCTTCCCACAATCATTTGACATTACTATGTTGTCTGTATAATACAACAATAAGCAGAGAATCTGAAATTAGTACATGATTAATGGAGTTCTATTTCTTTTGTATTTGAATAAATATAATCCATAAGTACATGACACAAACAGTTGTAACACTACTAGTTAGAGAGATGAACCTTTTTTTGTGTTCCAAATTGAGCCTGTGAACTCAAGGGGAATAACTGATTAAATAAGGCAGCTTATACATCTATAGCTGCACAATCAGACAGCAGCGCATTTTTTACATTATAAATTACAGCTTGCTTTGTCACTATGCTCATCACTTCTACCAGCCAGTAACAAACATCCTTAAATGGAAAAATGGACATAATAATAATAATGCAAGCATTAAAATGCTTTATGGGTATGGATTAGTCTTTGGCATGGTTGCTGGGTATAATAAGTGGTCAAAAAGTTATGCATGTCATCAGAAGCATTGAGTTTGTTTAAAAAGATCCCTTTATTGTATTATTATATCTGCATGCATCTTTTTTAGCAAATTTCTCATATCAATAATTAAGGATAGAGAAAAAAAAATGCAATATTTTAGGTATATTATGCTTTTTAATTAAAAACAGCAATAATAACATTCAAATGTCAAATACACTTTAAATAGAAGGTCCTGTAAATGATTATTGGATGATGCGTTACAGTTGGATAAATTACTTGAGGTCAATAATGATTAAATCAATATATTACTTGAGAACTGAGATGGCCAAAATAGTGAAAATAGCCAAAATCAAGCAATAAGAATTGTTGGCACCAGTTTGGTTATGTTAGTTGCTTTGATGTGTGGCTTTCATATCAGATAAAAAGGAACCCTACTAGGTTGGCTATTTAAATATAACAAAACTGTACTACTTTTATACAAATCTGTCTGTTCTAAAGTATTCATTTTCATTGACAATGTCATAAAAGAGATCCCAAGACAAGTAAAATGAATTTAAAGAAAACTTATATTAAAAAATAAAAATGTTATTATAAGCTAGTCTGAAGTAGTTTTAACTTAAGAGTACAACAAATCTAACAGTATACATCAGTTATTATTTGTTATTAAAATAGACAAAACCAACAACTTGTATAAATAGTCCAAATGCAATCCTAGCAATAGTCCATCTGTGAAACACAATTGAATTTCTAAAGGAAATAAAAAATACCTGCAATGTACTTTATACCAACAATTCCAATAAATTACATTATAATAATATACATCAGTAAATCAATTTCAAAATTATACTCAACATCAGGTTAGTTTCTGTAACAGATGCTTAATTGATGTCATGAGTGTTGATGCTACTCCAGCTGAGAATATTTGATATATATATATATGTGGCAGATAATTGAAAGTATTTAGTCATTTTGGGCTAAATTTTTAAATAACCAAGAATGTGTTATCAAACAGTATGCCTAACTGCTTCACTCCACTGGTCCATAAGAGGTTTGGGTAGCTGTCAGAGGTTAGTGCCAGACTTAATTTTATACAGCAAATTAGAGCTCAAAACCTACATTATAATTGGAAATTCTGGGGACTGTCTTATATACCCAATCGACTTATATATTGACATACAGGATACCAGACATAGATCCATTAAAGCTATACAAATAGAACCAAATAATTTAGATGTTTACATCTCCCCACCCCCATATCATCTTATCAAGACAGTTGTAGACATAATGAAAGATAAACCATCATAAGAATCTCTTTCATTGGGATCATGCCCTAATGTGAACAACAATAATAAATAAAGTAGGAAATTAAATAGACACACTGTTCATAATGCTAAAGATATCAACATTCCTAAAGTTGTATCAAAGTTCAAATCCTACCATTGGCTTTTCTACTGGACAGCATTAGAAATTTAGAAAAGTCAAAAACGAAGGTATGGTTCTTTGTATACTTCTTCATATTCTCTCATTAAGACACAGCCCTTCAGAATGTAAGCAATTATGGCACTCTGCAGCTAAACACTCCCACACACACACACATATACATGCCTATAAGCTGTTACTTGCCATCATTGTTCTTGGGGAAGGTGGTGTTTCCAGCTGCATTTGCCAGAGTTTTAAAATCAGTTTTCCTTTTTCCTCAGCTGATTTTCAATCAAGACTAGAGAGCTCAAGCTGCCCTACTATTTTTACTAACAGCCAGCAAGTGGCAAAGAAAGAATTCATTTTTTTTTCTCAAGTGTAAGGTGAACACAAACTGTCTAGAACAGAATTTGAACTCAATAATCCTAAATTCCAACTGAGACCTAATTATTAATAAACTCTAAGACGGTGCATTTCCTTGAGAAAAAAAAAAGTTTCCTGCTGTTTATTTAGTAAAGGATTTTCAATTCACTCTCTATATAAGAAGTCATAAAAGCCAAACATGGTGTCCATCAACAGCAATAATCAAATACATAAGAATGAAATTTTTTAATCTATAGAAGAGAACAGCGTAAAATAATATCAGTGATAAAATATAAATAATGAAAAGAAAAACTATCTGATTAATATGAAGCAAATATCTAATGAACTGTATTATTAATAATAAGCATCTGCCTTAAAGTTTTCATACAATTTTAAACAATCACGCAATTAAATGTGCAAACACAAATTCAAACAAATCAGGTCAACATGTCTTATATAGATTTCTCAAGATTTAAAACTAAATGCCTTTATTTTTATTTATTTATTTTGGTTTAAGCAACAAAGTGGAATTAAATAGAAAAACAAGAAATAGCCATGAAGAAATAATGGTATCAATTTCAATAAAAACTCAGCAGACAATATTTTTAATTCAAATCCACCACACTGCAAAACATTTATAAAAAAAAAGAAAAAAAAAAAAGGCACTTTTTCAAAGTGGTGTAAGCTAATAGAAAAGTTGATTAACGTTAATATAAAACTGTTTTAACAAAAATAACAAAAAGAAAGGAAAGAAAAGAAAGGAAAAAAAGGAAAAAAAACAAAAACACTTGACCTTTTCCTCCACCTCTCTACATTTGTTTTAATAAATCTCAACTTGGAATTCAAAGAGTATAGAAAAATTAAAACCAGAGAAATATTCAAAGAAACCAAACTGGTAGAAAGAGATATTTGTCCTGCCCTGGGAGATCAGCAGCAGGACTGGGTAGGTGACTGTGCATAGAAGAGGTGACATTGCGCACCTAACTCAAATTGATGACTGGTAGAAACATTGTTGGCCAGTCAGTTTAATATTTCAAAAGAGAAGAACCAATTAGGAAAAGCGACATCCCTATCACCACCCATGTCTTGCCCCAGAACCCAACCCCGTCCCCAAATTCAAACAATTTAATTTCAAGATCGTTATCAGCACTGGGAAGAAATATGAAGGAGGATATTGATTGCAGATACAAGGATTAATGATCTCTATGACCACTAAACAAAAAGAAGAAGAAAAAGCCAAAACAAAAACAAAAAAAAAATAGAAGAAAAAAAAAAAAAAATTTGCCATTGGAACACATCACAACCATTGATCCTATACACCAATTAATTTACATTTTTACTAAAATGCTATTTTTACTTTTTCAACAATTCAACCACTGCCTTACCATCAGTGTTACCCTTGCCCTCATCAATGAACCCAAAGAACAACCACATCCCCTTCAAACAAGAACACAGATGAGATAAAGAAAGATGACAATATCAGAATTCAATGTTTGTAAAAAGAGGAGGTGGAAGGATACAAATAAATAGAGGAAATATCAGAAAATAAATTCAGGAATTTTTAAAATACATCACAATTTTTTTTCCCCCTGAAATAAAAATACATGGAAGTGCTGAAGCAAACAAAAGATACAAGAAAAATAAATACACAGACGTGGAACAAAGACTGAGTAGAAATTACAATAAAAAAAAAAAGAGAGAAAATACAATTTTTCAAATGGATCCATTATCTACAGAAATAAATGAAAAAGATTAATGAAATAAAACAGTGAAGAAAAAGGAAAGGGGGAAAAAATTAATTCAATGGCTGCAGGAAAAATTTTTGAAGTAAAAACTTTCTACAAGAAAAAAAAAAAAAGAAAAAAAATGAAGATAATGCCAAAAATAAAATTAAAAAAAAAAGATAAATTTTAAAAACTCAAGTACAGCTTTTTATTTTGGCAACAATCCAAGTTATAATGTAAGCCGACATGTACATATATTTGAGAACTCCTAATATAGCCATTTTTTTTTTTTTAATTTTTTAAGCTAGAACAGCAGGGAAGGAAGGATGTCAGAAAAAAAAATGAATCTAAGTAAATAAACAGATAAATGAAACAAGCCATTTTTTATCTGTGTGTAAAACTGATGAAAACAAACTCCTTTTTTTCTCAACAGAGATTTCTAAATATCATAATATTCTTGAATTACATAAGGAAAAATTCATTCATTCTGAAGATAAGTCACTTCATTAGGACATAATATTGTGTCCCTCTACCTCTATAGACCTTAAATATTTTTACAGTTGGATGCCATTCCTCACAAATATTTTGTAAATTATTGGTTAATGTTCATAAAAGAACTAGAAATAGAATGATTCTGATACACATTTTATGTGATGTCCATGATTTATGCAACTAACAATAACAAATAAACTGATGAATATTATAAGAAAAACATAGCATTTTATGGTCAAGTAATGAACTGACAACATGTATTGTTTATTGTTAGCAGAAACATTAAAGTCTCACTTGTGGTATCTACATTACATAACAGGCAATAAAACAAGTCATTTTACAGATGCAAGACACAGACTGCCCAGTGATTGATTACTAGAGTAAATATCTGGAGTTTTTATAGGCTAAAGTTGGTAGTACTAAAAACATACATAGATGGAAAGCTTTTAAAAAAAAAATTTTTTTAAAAAAAAAAAAAAAAAAAAAAAAAAGAAAAACACTCTTAGCTACACAAATCAGTAGAACATCATTGTAAAATCCAAGTTGTCTGAATGATTTGTTTACATTGCTAGAATTAAAACAGCTGAAAAATTGTTTCATTTAGCAAATGGCAAAAGAGAAAAGTAACATTTCTGTATTAAATCTTTTGAAAACAATGATTCAAATATGTGTTTTTGTCTAGAAAAGCTATTATGCAAATTAAACATTAATAAGGAAGCACTTTCAAATAAATTTATCAAAAAATATGACAGAAAAAAATAAATATATGATTTATCATATAAAATTATTATTGCTTATATATTATAAGCAAATAATCTGGCATAATTAAAGGAAATTTACTCAGCAGAAAATACTAGACGATCAAATATTAGGAAAAACATCCCCATTGGAAAAATTATTGCATTTCCAAAAGAAACTTAATTAAAGGGAGGCTATTCACAAAAAGAATTACCTAGATTTATCTCCCTTGAACTACCAAGTGACCTATTTTACAGAAAAATTTAAATACTTTAATAGCGGAAACTGAAAACTCATTTTCCCTCCTCGATGAAATCTATTATCAACATCAAATACCAAACATCAAAATTCAGGCATTTTATTTTTTGAATAAATTTTGAGGAGTTACGTTTACAAACAAAATTCTAACAATAATATAAAAAGAAAATGATGATGGACTTTACTGTTTTAACATAAGGATCCAATAATTCAATCGATAAGGCAGACTGAACTGTTTTTACACTAACCACAAGGATGAGTTGCTTAAAGTGGTGAATGTGTGTCAGAAATGTCACTTTTCGGGGGGTTCTGAGACTGATACTACACAAATGATATAATCTCAAAAAAAAAAAAAAAAAAACTAAAAAAAAACAAAGAAAAACACATCATTCCTTGAAGCAGTTTGATCTGCAGATCACATCAGGGTCAAACTGAAGTCAGTAGTAATGCAATTAAGTTGACTATCTTCACTGCTGATACCACTTTTTGGTTTTTTTTTTTTTTTTTTAAATGGAGTTTTCTCTCTTTAACAGCAGGTTGATCAAATATCCGACCCAGTGATTTAGAATGAGTCCCCCACATCATGTAAAAACAATAACTCCATCTAAATACTAACCAGATGAATCTTGAATTTAGAAATATATATTAAAACATATCAAAATATACTACTACTTATGAACAAAATGATTTGTATTTTCAATACTTATCATATTTCCAGTATTGTAGACATTAACAAACTTACATCATTAAGCATTTTAATAAAAAACATAATATGTTGTATTTACCCAAGAGTCTCTCCACTGAGATAGGATGTGACAAAACGGTCAAGTTTAATGTGGGGAACCCCAGCACATACACTTGGGCCAGGGACAAAAATTGCCCACCCCAGCAACCATCAGTTGTGCTGGCATTCGTATGACTACTGATCCCCACTCTTTAGTGCAATGGGGAGATGCAGCCTGAAAGGTTGGTGCAACTGTTCCTCCATGACCAGGCACCTCACAGATTTTATTTATCCCAGCTGTGTGTGTCCGCAAAATGAGCCGCCACAACTGTTTCACACTGCCCAAAGACAGAAAAGCAACTCAGAGATGATAATCTTCCTCCTGCCATATGTATTACAGATAATAATGCTTTTCTAAATAAAGTTATGCTGTAACTTGTACATCAGCCAGCTGGGTTCTTCTGCATTCCATTCTAAACAGAATTAAATTTATAAAGAACACACAATACGGTAAAAAGGATGATTTTTAAATGTATTTAAAATCTCTTCCTTTTTTTTTTCTTTTACTCTTCCTTTTTATATGCAAAGTTGGTTAAATATCTAATGACATATTTTAAAGATATTTAACAAATCATTCAAATTATCAATTCTAAATTTATTGACAGGTGAAATGATATGCAAACAAAATTCAAATACAGATTTACTATAAAATGTATATAGTCTATTGCTGCATTCTGTGTCATCTCTGGGTCCTCATGCTACTACATAAAATGGTAACAAAAAGGATGGATGGATGTTGGATTTAACGGCATGTCAACTCCTATTTAACAAAAAAGACCATTTCTTTTTCTCGTTCGTTTTATTAGGAGAGAGTGGTAACAGCTTGGATTCTAAGAGACAGTAGGTGGAATGCATGTCACACATTGGCTCAGTGTCCCTCCATGGGTGATCTTAGCCGGTCGCTAACCTGGATGTGTGGGGGTATATCGCCACTTCAGAATTCTTGTGAATCTGTTGAATTCACACCATTTTGGACTTATACCCAAAACCCAAATAAAGACAATACATCACTGTTAGAATACCATGCCTAAGAAGCACTCTGACAAATCCCTGACCATTCTGGCACTTGCATTCTGTAACATTATGCACACAATGTACTATATGACTTATGAAGGGGTAAATCTTTTACACTGAACAGTTATTGTGTTAAAATTAAGTCATAAAAGGTTTCTCCTTTTTATTCACCTTAGCAACAAGATGAAATTCGGAACACAATAAGTCAATAGAGGGCAAAATTTAAATAAAAATATGGAGAAAATAAAGTGTATTTTAGCAACATTTTTAAATAAGTTACAACAAGGAGCAATTGAAATGAATGCCCACAAATGTTAAATGGAATCTGAAAACAACATTAATTGATTTGTACATCAAACAATAAATTAAACAAGGGATCAACATTTCAAAGCTGAAAAACAATTACAAAATAAAGAAATATTGACTCTTAGAACTTTTCACTTTTCAGAGTAATGAAATCATTGTTCAGACTGGTTAATAAAAATTTAGACATGAAAAAATTCCTTTTCAAAATATCATTTAAATGAGATTTAAGGAAAGTAATGAATGAAGTCTAAATATAAAATCTTGTGCAAGTAACCCAGGCTCAGCCATGCATAACAGAGTCTGACAAGCAAACAAAACAAAAGTTAAATGAATGCAATAATCTCCACAAAGCAATTTTCACTTGTTTGCCTGGAGTGCTTTGATTTCAATTGCCAAATTGATTCAACCAACAGATTTTTCACTTTCTCTTAAAACTTATAAAGTTGAGAAAACTGTCTAATAATGACAAGGATAAATAATTTGAACTCAATGTATGAATAAAAGATCATAATAATAATGAAAATAGTTTTATGATGTACTGATTACTATCTAATAGTCATGTAGTTGCAAAATCTTTTTCCTCCAAATTGTTTTAGATTTATTGTAACAGTGTATACGGGTTAGTTCAGAGTAATTTTATCATCTTTGTTGTTTTGCTTTCTCACAATGTTTCAGACATATAGCCTCTTGCCTTCTTCAAGTGTCTAGTATATCAACTACTACTACTACTACTCTAAGGAAGCATGCATAAATCCAGGGCTTATGCATGTGTTTTCTTTGGATTGACTTTTAACCTCTTCAATGAACCTATGAACTTCCAAGGTGTCTGTGTAAGTTTGCACACTTTATAGACTGAAGTGAAACAAATATGCCTGCATAAATACTATGCACAGATAACACAATCAGAAGACCAAGCATAGATATAAATAGCTTGTGGAAGTCATTGATCAAAAAATGAACAAGCAATGAGCTTGGGATCCCAGAAACATGACTAGAGAAATGGAGTGCCGACAAAGTTTGAGTGTATTGGAAAAGTCATCAGTTGAACACAAATATCAGGAGACAATCCCAAGAAGATAGGAAGTTCATAATACTTCAAAGTAAGACTGAACACAACTGAGAATACACAACAAAAGCAATAAAAGACAAAAAATTTGATTGTTTGATCAAATAGTGATTATCAAAGCAATGTGAACCGCAGCATGATAACAAACATCAAAATCATCTGGTATCAGATGCAAAAATCTCTAAAAATATACCACCTAAAGGATATGTGGTAGGATGATTTGTAGTGTTTTATAGCCAATATCAGATGATTTTGATATAGAGGATATTTAAACTTTTACAGTCACCTGGTGGTTCTAAGTTCAATTCCTGCATCAGATAGTGAAATTTATATAGTACAATGAAGCAGTAACAACTAAAAAATAGTGTTACAATGGCATTGCTAATAGCATAAAAAAAAAAAAAAAAAATAATGAACACCTGAAAAATGAGCAGAGGGTCCATAGCCAAAAATGTGATTATAATAACATCTGTCAAAGAACAAAATTTCAAATGAGTCAAATTAGTTTGAACTAATCCACATTGTCATGTCACAAGTCCCATAATCCATTAGGGCCGTAAGGTTTACCACACGTTCTACAACTATAGCAGAAGTGACAGGTCTAGAACAAGAACATGTTGGAACACATTCATCTTCAGGTTGGGTTTTCAATTCAAACTTTTTCTTCTCCTAAACTGGTTGCCACCTCAATACAAGAGTCAACCCTGTTATTTAACCCATAGTTGGAGGCAAGAAGTAATGGATTCATACCTTTGCAAAGGATATTTTTGCTAAAGTGAATGTAACAAACTTGGCCAGAATTCAAACTCCTAATCCACATAGAGATTATTAAAACAATTTGTCTAACAAAATTTAGACGAAAATATCCAGGAACTTTCTATGATTCTTGTATAGAGTTGATGCAATGAAACACTAGCTTTTCTGAAAATACACATTTTGCCCTTATATAAATAAATACATGTAAATATCATATTTTCCTTGCAAAAGATGCCTGAACGTATTTGCTATTTTAATTAAGTTTCCAAAACAAGAACTTCCAAAAAATCTCAACTCTTTATCAGCCAGACAATGAAACCCTACATTGTATCTCTGTGTTGGGATGCATGAAAAACTGGGAGTGTCTAATATATTTCATCATTTATTGAGAGAGTCACCTGTTTGGCCTTGGTGGGTAAGAAGTGACACCTGGTACCACTCCTGACATCTAAGACTAACAGATAAGCTTTTAACTCCCACCACCCTTCTGCACATCTCAACATTGCAGCACACACAGCTGGCAACTAACATGCAGCATCGGGCGACATTGACAGATGGCCTGTCTGGACCTCAATCCCAACTGGGGCTGTTAATATAAACCTCTGACCAGAAATTCTCAATGTCAGATCTTTTATTTTTTTTTTGTCACCTGCTCCCAAATATTTTCATTTATTATTTTATTGTGTTTTGGTCAAGTGGGTGGCTGTTTTCAAAAACCTGCCCTTCATAAACTTTATCACTAATCATAAAACCTGAAACACTTTAGACTGAGATGAAATGTCATACCATTTCCTCCCATGTGGGTGCCCCAATCAGTGTCATACATGACTTTCAATTTCTGATACACTATGAGATATGAAGTAAAAAGCGTTATTCCATCCTAAATTGACAAAAGGGGATATTGAAGCTAAAGCTATCTTATATGAAGCAGATGCTGAGACGGAAATAAATTTAATCTCAGATGTCGCCAGGAACATTCATTAAATAACAAATTTCTACTCCTGCAGTAACAAAAAAAAAATGTAGTTTTTTATATAAGTGGTCTACTTCTATGTGTAGAAGTCCTCTGAATTTAATGTGAAGAGTAAAAAGGAATTTTTTACTGTTATTCTTTTATTTATATGTCTTTTAATGTATTGGATGACCTTTGACAATACAATTAAAAATATTTGTTTTATTATTAATCTTTGCGCATTCATTTTATTTATTTATTTATTTTTTTTTTTTAGAGTTGATAAAAAGTAACATTGAAGATGGCAAGTAAAACCGTCTTTTTATTGCTGACTAAATTGAGACATACAGTCTTTATGCTATTCTACAAAGTTTGCTTTTGGATTTCAATTTGTTCTTTTACAGCTTACCAAATCTGTAGTTTATTTAAAGCTGAAACACATTTTTTGGAGATTGTAAGATTAATTATTTTTTTGTGAGTGACTATTGAAATTAACAATTTTTTTTTTCCTGAAACAATTACTATTTAAGGCTTATGGACACATCACATTGAAACACCAGTTTCCATACAATCATCAAAGTTAAGCAATATTGGGCCTGGTCAGTACCTAGATAGATGACCACTGTGGAATACCAGGTGCCGTAAGCTTGAATTTGCAGGTGGTATAATGGATAATGAAATTGCTAATCAGAGAGCTGTATTCCAATACCAGCTTGTTTTGTTATATTCACTTACACATAAATTCCCTTGGGAAAGGTATAAATCCTCCTGTCCTCCCTTCCATATATGGGTTAATTACTAAGACTTGTATCAATAAACCATTATTAACTCCCAAAATTAAAAATAAAAATTGCATACAACATATTTAGATTTCAGTATTAAATAACCCATAGAAGTTGATATACTGTTAAAAAAAACAACCCCCCCCAAAAAAAACAACCAAACCAAGCTTACTATTTAACCCATAGTTGGAGGTGAGAGAAGAGATGGATTCATACCTTTCCCAAGGGTATTTGTGCTTAAGTGAATGTAACAATCCCAAGTGGAATTTGAATTCTTCATTCTGAGTTGCTATCCATTATTCCATTCGCACATCCACACAAGTTTTACATAATTGCAATTCAAGAATTCAAAAATACGAAACAACAGATCAAAGAAAAAGTCTTTAAAGCCATGCATCATGACATAGAAGAGGATCAAATGATGCCAACTCACCTTGGCGACAATGTACTCTGCATCTTCATAGCTATCCAGTAGCAACTTTTGACCTATGTCTTTAAGGGAGATTCGTGAATAAGATACGTTGATCATGCGTACACCTGTTTTGATGACATTGTGTCGTAATCTGATAATTAGTGTGTAAGTATTTTCGGCCTGGAATTTGCTACCAAACTTTTCTAAAACCTCATTGAAGATTTCTAAACTGCCCTTTTTCACAGCTGCAAAAAAAAAAAAAAAAAAGCAAAATTAAATTTCTATTATAGAAATAATGTCAAGAAAAAAATTTTATTGAAAAGTTCTCAAAATCAAAATTTATTTTTTTAAGTTAATTTTAACAAAGTTTTATAACTGGATCCTCATTTTTGATGAAGAAAAGTAAATGTTGATACACCTATCTGTTCATATCCACCTATATATATATATATATATATATATATATATATATATATATATATATATATATATATATATAACTAAAGTATGTTTAATGCTTCTTAAAATGAAATGTTACTGACTATAATACAAGATACTTATTTAATGACTGTAGTACTAATATAGATAGAAACAATAGGTACTTTTAACATTTAAAAATATTTTCCAGAACAAATGACAGACTGATGTTATTCTTTCAACAATAGAATAAAGAAAAGAATGTCAAGACAGAAGGCAGAATATTTTTAACAAAGAATATTGCCTTTTGAGTTCTTGAAAACTAAATGGTAATGCTCTCTTTTGTTAAGTCTATATAAATTAATGAACAAACAAAACTTCATTTAACAATAAGGCAGAATTCCTTTTATTATTATTATTAGTTCTTTTGATTTCTGTTGTATACAAATTTCCTTCCAGGTCCCAACAAGAGACCGAAGGTCAGAAATGACTTCATCACATTTTTCAATTATCATTTTTTAGAAAAAAAAAAAAAAAAAAACCTTTTCCAATCAAACCTAGGGCCCCTACAACTTGAATTATTGATGTCCTCATGTGCCACATTTTTTAGATTTCCTATTCAAGATCCTTGTATTTTGATAGTTGTTTGAAGATCTTCAAAGATATATTACAATCTGCAGAGACTACAATGTCAATGAGAAATCACATTCTATTTTTGTAATCTTTGATCATGATGTCAGAGTGTTTAGCCTTGATTACTCTGTCTGTGTGTATTGTAAAGTTCCATAAAATTGTTACACTTCCTCCTATCTCTGTAACTGGGTCTGGATGATGTTCATACCAGTTTCTTGCAGTTTCCTTCCCATTAAAGTTGTCGATTTTCCAGTGCAGATATTGGCACACTCTATCATGCCAAGTTTTAAAATATATACACTGTTTAGTGCTCTATTTTTAAGTGGCAATAATAAACAGAGAACTTTCTAGAAAATGTAATAATATTATCGATTAAACCTATGACTGATATTCTACATATCTTTGGCTTATGTCTATATTAGCATAAATATTTGACATAGATTTGCTTGCAACTACAATAAGCATTTACTCCAAGCCTCATTTATACACCGACGTGCCAAAAGTCATGAGATAATAATATATAAAAGGTAAATGGTGCTACCATACATGATGTCATGGAAATGTGAAAACCTATATCAATTGTTCTGTCAACATAGAAACAATGGTAAGACAACATGAATTATCAAAATTTGAATAAAGCATGATAGTGGGTGCCAGACAGAAGGGAGACTTTGACACCCTTCAATCTACAATGTCTTGTGCATGCCAGGAATACCCAATGGAAGTTATGACTATCCACAGTGGACAGTATAATGGCCAACTACAAGTCCTTATTGACCAAGACCAGAGGTATCTGGTTAGAATTGTTTACAGTAGCAAGCAAGCAACATTGGCCCAAAATGCATCTACATTTAATGCAAGAAATACCAGACATATTCAACAAGTCACAGTTCAATATCCTTTTTAACTTCCATGGAATATGGGAGAAGACACACCGGAGTGTCCCTGTTAACATCATGACACCAGACACTGTGCCTCACATGGGCTTTTGACATAGATAATTGAAACCATAGAGGATTGTCTTGGTCCAACATACAACACAGTTCCAATTGTTTTAAGTTGACGGCAAGGTTTGGGTTTGATGTAGACCCCCATGTTAACAAGAAACCATTCAGGCTAGTGGTGTTTCCATAACATGTGTTAACATGGCATGGGGTGGGCCTGATGGTCTGCCTAAACACTTTATTGAACTGTGACTGCTACATTACCCTGGTTCATGACCTTCATGGACTCCACGTATCCCAACAATGACAGATTAGATAATGCACTGACTATATCCTCGATAAGCTCAAATTGTCCTGAATTTATTTCAGGAGAATTCTGGAGATTTTTAATGAATGGTGTGGCCACCAACTTCATCTGATATGAGCTGAAACAAATATTTATGGGACTCAGTGGAAACTTCTATTTGAATGGAGGATCCTGCACCTACAAATATCTGAGAGGTGTAAACAGTTATTCAAATGGGGTATAGCTCAAAATCTCTTCAAGAGGTCTTCCAATCACATGCAGAATTGGAGATGCTGCATTTTCCCCAGATAAGAATGGTTTCTACATAATAAAAGGCAACTATTCCATGTCTTCTGGTACCTCAGTGTAGATTCACTTGCATAAAACCACAAACCAAATTAGTTTTACATCCTTTTCTTAAATTTACATCAGCTACATACCAAGAACAACTTCACTCTTCCTTTAAACTTGCTTCCATTTTCTAAAAGAATCGTCAATCTACATTTAGACATATTTTATGATAGCAGGTAAACAACTGAACATTGTTTATGATTCTGTCTTGAACAGTCATCGATATTTTTTGTTGAACTAGATTTTTTTGTAACTGAATATTGTTACCATTGAAGATTTCTCTCAATCATTTGAGAATTAAAAATGAATGCTTGAAAGCAAGCGATGTTTACCTTGTGTCAACTGAAAATATGGAGCCAATGTTTTTCTATAGCAAGGTTGCCTGAAGATAGAACGGTCAGGGATGTTGCCAAGCAAAAGTTCAACAGTAATAGCAAGTTTATGGACCTGCAGAGAACAAAACAAATAAACAGAATTATATATCAAACTTACAAAAGTAGAATTAGAAATTTCTAGAATTTACTCAAAAAGGAGGAAGTGTGACATTGCACATTTAAATGTTTTTTTTATGTATAAATTGACAATTCTCAATATGATTAAGGAAATACATTCTTTAAAAATTTAATTCAGTTTTGCATGTTACGTGGGTGGAATTACTCAGAAATGTTAAATAAATGAATGTAAAAATGTTAAGCCAAAACAACATCAAGCAAATTTTCCTTAAACAAAGGACAATATTTTTATTAGATCATAAAATGAAAAGTATAAAGATTATTTGGCTTCATACAAAAAATTTGACACTGATTTATTTACCAATTTTTCAGACCAGAATGATCAGAAATTGGACAAAAATTCTCCCATTATAAAATTCCAGGAGAAATTTTCCTAAAAAAAAAAATCTGAAACAAACCTGGTCAGAGTCTCTACTTGAAGATGGTGTTTAAGTTCCAATGTAAGTGAAGTGTATTGTTAGTCTCTAGTTATATAATGTAATAAATCATTTCCTTCAACATTTATAATAACAGGCTGAACATGAGATAAATACTTTGTTTTCAAACAATTCAATCTAAAAGACTTTAACTGTTGTAATTTAAGAGTCAAACAACATAAGAGTATTTCATATTTTAACTCACAGATTAACATTTGATAATACAAGTAATTTACTTTGATCTTTACAGGTATCACATACTAATCTCTGTCTTATACAGTTCTTACATTCAGTGCATAGATTGTTTTTTTTGCATGCAAATGTAACAATTTTTATGGAAGAGAAATAGTATTTTATTTAGTTATGACTGACCACTGAGAAAAATGGGGTTTATTATCGATTTTCCATTCCCTGATTGAACAGCAAGAACCTCAAACCTCTTAGCAAATGCAACCAGAGAGCTATATCCAAGTGTTGGCAACTGGTAATCATGACCATTTTGCAACTAAAATTAAAGTTCTTTTTGCAAAATAAATTCCCATAAACTTAAGCTATTATGGTCTAAGACAATTAGCTTCTACAAAAACCAAAAATATAAAAATTGTCAACATTTTATCAATAGTTACAAAATGTTTTTTTATACAGTCATAAATTAACACTAACACGCACACACTTTCTAGATAAGTTTTAGAGTGTTTGATATTGATGTTAATCCTAACCAATGTGACCATTTTTGATTTTTTTTTACTGTAGAAATATAAAAACTTGTTAATATGTCTACATTTAAATAGTGGTCCACATATTGAATCACAACTCTCACACCAAGGAAAATCTATTATTTATTAAAAACTTTGTCAAAAATGCAAAATTCCCCTAAGAAGGAGTCAAAGATAGCAATAAATGGTCAACTCACAGTCTGTTTGAATCCAACCGCAGTGTGCTGAGGAGCTTTCCTAATAGCCTGGGTCAATTTCTTATGGGCATCCGTATATTCTAACTGGGCAGCTTTTATTCGGCCTGAAAAATAAAACAAGGCAATATACTCTCCATCAGAGTTTAATTTGCAGCTCAAATCATTCTGTTCACCATTATATTTAAAAATTCACAAATTCATTCATTTATTTTATTTTTTGTTGCAATATTTCAGATAATCAGTTCTATAAGTTTGGACATCAACTACCAGCTTTTCTCTTAAATGTCAGAGTTGAGATATTAACTCAAAGGTTAAAAAAAATATTGTTTTAAAATGTATAGTAATTTCATTAAACCATCATGAGAACTTGATGTTTTAATTAGATGTTTATTTTAATTTCAAAATTATAGGAAACTAGATTTTAGAAGTTATTTTCATTTTCCAATTTCTACAATAAGGACATTTTTTTTCTAATAAAAACTGAAATAAATGCACCAGATTTAAATGTTGTCTAAATTGCAAAGGAGCTATAATTTTTAAAAATACTGTCATGCACAAATCAACAACTGTTTTTTAAAAACATTTTTGGAAAATATCTTTCAGAAAAGAAAAGTGTATTTCTAGTTTATATTTACTAATTTATATGACAAAGTGGAAAAAAATTCTTGTGACACGTTTCGTTCTTTAGGACTTCTTCAGACTAAATTTGTTAGTTTGGTCCAATTACACATGTACATGAGTAAGGAATACTGGGAATTTTAAATTTCATTTTTTTTTTTTTGTAAATAATCTACCCAATTTCATTTAAATTCTTAAAAAACTTCAAATTCCCAGAATCTGCTGTTTGTGCGCATGTGTAGTAGCGCCAACGTAACAAATTTAGTTTGAAGTCCTAAAGGACGAAACGTGTCACATGAAAACTTTTTTTCACTTTGTCATACATTTTTCCCCCCAATATTGTTCTTGATATGAAAATATAAATATTGTCATCTCATATGCTAATTTGCATAAATCAAAGTAAAAAAAAAAAAAATTAACATTCTAAAAGAGAATACAACAACCAAAACACTGAAATTTAAAAAACTTATGAATTTTTCTTAAGAAATTACACATGCCTCGTGGACAAGATTTTCAACAAAATAAAAAAAAATCTTTCATATTTTAATTATATTTGTATTTTTATATTTTTTTTAAATTTCAGCAATGATCCTGATAGTCACACCGTAAAGATAATAATCACAGAACTGGTGAGAAATATTAGAATCTATTACATTGATCTATAACCATATTACAACAGTAATTGTTAAGTGAAGATATATATATATATACTGACCAAGGTAATAAAGAAATCTGGCCAGTTCATTATTAGAGGCTGCACCATCTGGAAATGTGGACTTGAGCACAAGTTTGCCAGCCTGTTCAATCAAGTTGAAATGTAAATAATTACGAAGCAAAAGATTTAGCAGTACTGCCTGACCTTCGAAATCTGATCTTAAGGTTGCTGTACGAAGACGAGCATGGAGAAAACTGAAAGAAATAAAAAGGAAAAAAAAAAGATTTAAATCATAACCCAATGAACAAGGTGGGAAAAAAAAAAAAGAAAAAAAAAAAGAAATTCTTGTAATTCTTGGTTAACAACACTTAGAAAATGTCTTCTATTCAAGCTCCTTACCTACGAATTTTATCAAGCTGGTTGGTCAACTCATAAACTCTTGAATAATAAAAGTAACACTTGGCTGCTAACATGTCCAATGTGCGACGATTCTGTGAGGTAATTTTGTCCATTAATAACTCAGCACATTTAACACCCTGGGGGGGAGAAATAAAAAATATATATCAATAACTTGAATTTTTTCTAATTTTGCATTAATTCATATTTTTAAAAAGTAATATATTTTGATAGAGTAATAGAAAAAAACTAAAAGAAACATGAAAAAAACATGAAAAAAAACAAAAAACATGAAAAAAAACAAAAAACATGAAAAAAAAAACAACAACAAACATGAAAAAAAACCAACAAACATGAAAAAAAAAAACAAACATGAAAAAAAAACATGAAAAAAAAAACATGAAAAAAAAAAAACCAACAACAAACATGAAAAAGAACCAACAAACATGAAAAAAAACAAACATAAAAAAAACAACAAACATGAAAAAAAACATGAAAAAAAAAAAAACATGAAAAAAAAAACAACAAACATGAAAAAAAAAAACAACAAACATGAAAAAAAACCAACAAACATGAAAAAAACCCAACAAACATGAAAAAAAACAAAACAACAACAAACAAACAAAACAACAACAAACAAACAAAACAACAACAAACAAACAAAACAACAACAAACAAACAAAACAACAACAAACAAACAAAACAACAACAAACAAACAAAACAACAACAAACAAACAAAACAACAACAAACAAACAAAACAACAACAAACAAACAAAACAACAACAAACATGAAAAAAAACAACAAACATGAAAAAAAACAACAACAAAAGAAAAAATGAACTCCATTGATACAATTACTATTCTTGGTTCTGTCAGTGATTCAAATGTCCCTATGAGTTTGGAGTGTACACCTATGCTACTATCTGTAATACTGAACATATGTTATGGAGATTTAATAAAAACAAGACTCCTTACTTTAATAAAACAATAAAGTCTAAGTGCTTTAATAAATAAGGGGAAATAATTTCTCATCAAACAACAACAGATTTTGATGTAAGGGACTTAACCACTGACAGGTGAGCAGTAAATAGAAACAAAAGGTGACACTGAATTAAAAGATGATCAAGTAATAGTAACACTGTGAAACATCTATATCTTACCTCTGCATATTTCTTGATATCAATCAAATAAATGACAACCAACAAATGAAGATAAACTTCAACCTCCAACAGAAGAGGAGCATTAGCCAATTTCCCTGTACGTGGGCGGAACTGAACCAGAGCATTATTGGTTTCCATCGGCTGAGAAAAAGAAAAAAAAAAGTCATAATTATGAAGTAAACTATTATGAAATACAAATGACAAAATGACAAGGCAAAATTTAGCACCACTACCATTCCAACTATCTTCATCCATTAATTGTTAAAATAAAATACTGAGGTTTAAATTTCATCTTTTGATCTAAGAGTGACAAAAAATTGTTTTTAAAGTTTAGCAAAAATTGTGAAAAGTGAACATTTTTCTATAATTAAGGGATAGTGCATTTTTAATTTTTCTATATGGAATCTGGGTGTAAATCTAAACTACTTAACATGAGGGTACAATAATTTTGATTAGATATTTTGAAAGGAATCAATTGTTTTTGTCTACTGTTATCCTAATCTTTTTCTTTTTCATGTCTACTTCTTCAGCATTTCTCAACAGAATGTAGAATCACAAAAAAGAGTTTTACATTTTTTTTTTTAATTTCTTTCTTTCATTTATTTATTTATTCTGAGAAATTGAAGGAAGTTTATCAACGTAACAGGGATTGACAAAAAGCAATATCATGCTTACATAACAATAAATAACAAAACAAACTTTAAACAAATTAACTACCAGACTAGTTATCTTGAGTTAATAGAACATTTCATCTTTATCAAAGTTTGAGGGAGGACATTATTTATTGTTACTGAATAGAATGAAGTTTTTCCCACACAATATAAAATCGTTTATGCCTATATTTTGGGAAAGGAAGCAGAAATACTTCAATTATAGAACTTGCTGTAAATAAGTAGCTACAATCAAAGTCAATTTAAGATTTCAGGCTAAGAAGGGACTATTAAAAGACTTTTCAGTGACATATTAAGCTGATTTTATTCATTTATTTTTTTTTTTTTTTTGGTTAAGAGAAATTGTGAAAAATCTGCTTAAATATTTACTAATTTTTACTTTCAAGATCTTATAAAATTATACAATTTTAAATATATTGGTAAAATTCATAATGGAATTATCCTATGGCTAAAATATTGATTATATTTTCAAACACTGTATCATTAAAAATATATTAAAAATATTGCTGGCATAGCATGTCAGTGAAAAGTGAAAATAAATATAATGTTAAAATATACCTAAAAAAAAGTCTGTTTAAAAATTAGCCTTAAAGCTTTTAGGGTTTTCTATTAATTTTAAATTATAAAACTGAAAAAAACATGCACCACTCCTTTCTCTCCCACATACAATGTGTGGGTGGGTGTCACTTTTTAAAAAGATTAACTACTTGCAAATTTTTCCAATATTTTCTTCAAATTTTAAGACGCTCAAATAAAATTCTGAAGCATTAATTTAAAAAAAAAAAAAAAAAAAAAAGCCATTTACATGAAATATTTAAGCACAAAAAGAACTTAAGCAATTTTTTTTTTTTTACTTCATTCATTAATTTTTTTTTTTTTATCTATATAAGAATTAGCCATGTCATAATCAATGATTCTTTCTGTTTATTGCTTGCAGAGAATTATCACAATCCAACATCAAATTAAATTAAATAATAACTTAGCAAAGTAACAGTTTAAAGATAAAACCCAGTGCAATAATTATGATAACCAGGGACAATTAGCTAAGAATTAATTTACTTGAAAAACATCAATTCCCACAATTCAAGATCACAAACATTATTTCCATTGAAAGAATTCAAAATTATATTCTTCAGCCCAATTAGAACGTTTTCAGAAGCAATTCAATTAGACTTCAATTGGTTATCAAATTGAACAAATTAAAAGCTTCTCTTTGCTTCTTTTTCACAAAAGACAAAAATGAAAAATGTTCTGTCTGTTCTTCTTAATTTGTGGGCAAAATTTGTTGAATATATAAAATTAAGAGAAATTTTCTCCAAAGACACTGGAACTTTGTGATTAGGCAAAAGCTACTTGTATCTAACACTTGTGGTCAGTCTTCCCACTGCCGACCAACAATGTAGAAGAGTAATGATGCCAATGGCGCTGCAGCAGTTTGGAGAAAAGCCATGCAATTAGGATGCAGGCATTAATCTAGGGTTTCATACATTTATATAATAAGCACAATTGTTTCATGTGAGAAGAGAAAACAAAAGCATCAAAAATCATATTGAAACATCAAAAGACATTTAATTCAAGGGTTGCACACATGAATTCAATAATTCATTCTTTCTTCTCACTCTTTCAGAAATAAAAGTTTTATGAATTCACTTTTAATTTTCTTTTTGTAAATTGTGTCCATAAATGACAAAGGGTCATGTGTTTGCCCCTGGAGGCATTAAACACTTAGAAAAGCAGAACATTTTTCTGGTGGAATCATATACACATTTGGTTTGAGAGAAAAGAAAAATAAATAAATTCTATGAAAATACTGCAAGTCAAGAAAGTTGAAATTATTTTAAAACACAGGGAATCGTTTATTTTGATTATAATCATAAATGAAATAAAAGAGTCAGGGAAAATGTAATTAAATAATGGCTAAAAGACTCAAACCACATAACAGACAATTCCCGATCAACTCCAGGTAAACAGGGTTGGGTAGGGTAAGAGATGACTTATCAAAAATGACAAACAATATATTAAAAATAAAAAGATTTTAAATGTTTTTTAAAAAATTCACGCTAATTTTGAATAAAAAAAAAAAAAAGTGGACGTGTGTTCAAAAACTTAAGGGAAAACATTTTTAAAAAAAAGTCCTCGGGTTATTCATAATGAAACATTGATCTCTGGCAATGATTATGGCTTCACAATTAAATTTAATTGTTTAAAACACACACACGATTTGTTGAAAAATTAAAACAATTCATTTTTCATCAGAAATAAAAAAAAATTTTTTAAAAAATAGTATCTTTAAAAGTTCACACATTTTTTAAAGTAATTTCAGAATTATTAAATTTTCCAATTCTGGCATGTTTGCAAATATTCTAAAAAATTTAATCTCAATGTTCTTTACATTAAACTTATATTTCATACCATAAGTCTTAAGACAGCACTGTTTATTTTATAATGATTATTATTATTATTATTTCTTTTTTTAAATTTTATATTTTCAAAACATCTCATTTTATATAATTAAAATTAAACCCTTGCAAAATCAATTCATTCATCAATTTACTACAAGACAGTTAAAATTTATATCTTATGAGTTATAAACACCTTCTATACACCAGTGTTTAGAAGATATTCTCAGAGATTTCTGCAAGATTTGCACCCCTCATGAACAAAAATTTATTTAAATCTTTATTATAAAATTAAGAGATGCTTTTCACAGGGTTCCCACAAATCTGTGTAAAAAAAAATTCCAGGACTATGTTAAGAAGTTTCAAGGACTTAAACTGATGTATGTGCACACACACACACACAGAAAGTGAATAGTCATCAATTTCAAAAACACAAACTTTGTGATTTATCTTTTAATAGTTTGACAGATGAGATGTTCAAAGAAAAGCTACAGCTGGTTCCAATAATTCATGTCAAATGGATCAGTTGAAATCAGTGAAGAAATCAAAGTGTTGAAGGCTAAAACACAATTGAATGCAGACCTGGTTCTGTTACACATTTTGTGTAGCATTCTACACAGGTTGGAGTTCTACAACACTTGAAAATTTTGAATGACACACTTTCATTCTTACTGATACACATTTCAGCTATCTAGACGACTCATGGTTTGTGAATGTCACAAAAATTCTTGATTGCTGCACATTTCCTGTGAAATTAACTATAGTGGTTTTAATGAACAGAACTACAAATAGAAACTTTCACAAAAAAGACTATACATTTTAGCTACCCCTACTACACATGGCTTTCGTTGTACATGGCACAGAACACAATGTTAACATTTTTTTCAGTTCATCATGTTTGGTATTCTGTTCTTCCAATTTGGATATGCACTATGGATTTGTCTCTTGCAGATCTTTGCATGGCATTGGACTTTGCAATAAAAGTGAAGTTTTGAGTCCATTCAGGTTTCTCTACATAGCTGTCAACGGACTTGAGTAAATCTTGTGTGCAACTTTTCAAGTTTGTGTTTTTGGTCTTCTCTTCTTCAATTTCCATAAGCATGGATTGCTGTTTTTTGTTCAGCTGCTTCTTCCCGCCTTTTTTTTTTTTTTTAGCCTCAAGGTATTGGTTGTATGCTGTTCTGGTATTGGAAGCATTGCAGAAAAGAATATTCCCAGCACCTCCAACTGTGGCAAAAAATTGTCCATGATAATGCACTGTGGAACCAGAGTCTGCCGTTTCATATTGTCAATGGAAATTTCCTTATTGACCGAGAAACCTCTCTCCACTGAGACCTGTTCATGAAAGAGTACCAGCAATCCATAAAGAAGAGTAGAACAAAGTGTCCAGACAGTCTTCATGCATGCTGAAATTTTTCAAAGCAATATTTCCAGCAGCCTCCTCCTTAACTCTTTGTACTGACTGATGATGTCATCACAATCAGACTTGATGACTAATTTTCTGTCCATCATGTGCAAAATCTGTTTAGACCGCTGTAGCATTTTTTTTTCCATAAATGGATGCAAAGTTCAGCTATGCAAGTGACCTTACAAGAAACTAAGGGAATGTTTTGTCAGAAGTTTCTCAGTAATGGTGATGAACATTGCATGCAAAATTGCAACAAAGGCAAACAGTTCTTTTGTTGACACATTTCCTTTTTTTGATAAATTTTGCATAGCACTACCTGCCAGAAATCCACACTCGATCTTTGCAGCATTTTTATACAGGTTTGGGTTTGACAAAATTCTTACAAATTCATTCATTTTGGAAAATATAAGTATCTTTTTAGTGGACTTTTTTTTAATTTTTTTTTTTTTTTTTTTTTTACAAATCTTAACAGCTTCATGCAAGAAAGGAAGCAACAGTTTATCACTGATATTTTATCACAAATGGTTCAATGTCTTTCGAAACAGACACAAAAATCAGCAGTTTCACTGGAAATAAAATGTCATTCACGTTTGACAGCACTGCAGGAGGACATTTTTCTGTTTTTTTTAATTAAGTTCATAAATGTGATGACATCTGGTCAAATATCTAGGAGTCATTCATATGTTTGTACATTTTCTAGCCATCTATGGCAGAAATACAAAAGTAAAATGACAGGGTTGCCAGATTGAACTTTTAAATAGCAAGCCAAGCATTAAAAGCCAAATAAATTTCAACATTTTTTCATACTTACAACAAAAGCTAGAGGTACAGGTCATTATTAGCCTGCAGACTTTAAAAATAACATACTTCTTATTTTTTCAAAGATGCATTTTCTATCCTAAGGTACATCAAAGGCACATTTTCTATTCTATCATCCTTCCCATCTAAATTTTCTTTGAGTCAAATTTGATTCTTAAACTAGTTACATTTGGCAACAATTTAGACAAATATAGATACACAATGACACGGGATAAATATCTATTTTTTTCAGCATGAATTCACCTATCGCTGACAAGAGATTAAAAGGACTTTTTACTTTTGAAATTGACACATGAATAAAATTTCTTCAATTGTTTAAATTTTAAAAAACACTGATAAATCTTTTGAGATTCTACTAAAATGTATTTTATTACTGTAAAGTAATTTATTATTTTCCTTTTAACTTTTTTAAATTTAATGAGTGTGAATTAATTTATCTTTGATGTAGATATTTACTTGTCACTGGTGCCTTTTATCTTTGCTTTTCTTCTTTTCTTGTTGAGTGAGGGTAGCAGCTAAGAAGACACACCTTCATATTCTTTTCTTTCTCATCACCTAGATGAGAAAATGCAGAAGTACCGACAAGGTCATAAACTTGTTTTGATCAAGGAAACTAACCACTGTTCTCAATAATTGCCAAATATTGCTGACAACTAAAAAATCATTTTCCTCAAAGGACAATTTTAGCTTGTAAAAAAAGCCAGATTTCTGGGATTTAGCATTTTGATTTTTTATTAATTGAGAAAAAGGATGTGTGGATAGTACAATTTAGAAAATTCCAAGACTTTTTAAGGTGTTTTGGAACTATTGGTGTTTTTCAGAACTTTTCAAGGCACTCTCAGTTTTCCAGGACCTATACGAACTTCTCTCTCCATCAACCATGCTTATGTACATGCCTGTGTTGGTGTTGTACATGAGTGACTTACATGTGCTTGTGACATTTAATGTACATGCATACATGCACATTTTCACAAAGTTTGACATAAGACAATGGAATAATGCATTTGCTTCCCACACAGTGTGGACATCCTCTACTCTAAATAAGCAATAAAATCACAAAGAAACAAAAAAAAAATACTGTCTTTTTACTTATATGTGTGTATGGTTGTGAAATAAATAAAATAATCAACTTTTCAGCTAATTGTTCCATGCATAAAAAAGAAAAAAATATCGCAAAAATAATATTTTTTTAACAATTTTTGCAAATTAGCCTTACTCTAAGCAGGACATTTATCAGATTTAAAAAAAATTAAAAAAAAAAAAAAAAAAAAAAAGAATGTTTTTTTTTTATCATTTTAGAAAAAGGGTTCTTCTTCATAATATAAAGTGTCAAATTAAACCTTAAAGAGCTGTCTGTATTTTGTTTTTACTTACAAATGTCAAGTTTGAAAGTGTGCCTACATCATTGATAACAACATCCTACTGATGTTGTCCTTCCCCCTCCCCATCCAATTCAGAGTTTTCCTCATTTTTAAACAAATTTAGTAATATATTTAAATTTGTACATATTAAATAATAATAAGACAATAATATTAAACAATATTAAGAAGATTTAAATGCCTATTCTATTAGCTGAAAGAAGTGTGTTAATTCAATTTGGAGAACTTGGGTTAGTTGCTCAGATAGATGAATCTATTATTGCTAAAAGAAAATATCAAAGAGGCCATTATGTCCGAGATTGATGAGTATTTGGCATTCATGACAAAAATACAAATCTGGTCTACATGGAAATTGTGAGTGACCAGAGTCTGCAGATACACTTCTCCCAATAAGAAGATAAAGAAAATAAAGCCAGTTAACATTATCCATTCCAACTTCTGAAAGGCATATGAAAGGATAAAAGCCAAACATATCAGTCAACACTGTTTATATTGACCAAAACAAAAAAAATGAATCACATTCAAGACTTCGTATATCCAATTACAAAAGGTGCACACACACAAAGTCAAATGCATGTAAAAAAAAATGTAAAGATTAAGTTTAAATGCATGAATAGAGTGAATGCCTATATGTTAACATCTCATTTGGACAAATTCATGTAGTGTTTGCAATATGGCATTAACCACAATGATGCCTTTATTAATATCTTGGACTATATTGCTAAAATGTAGCCCACACACTCAGGTTCATAAATTTAAAAAAAATTTTGTTAAACAATTGTTTTTAATATTTTCTTAAAGTCATTTTATTTTTACTATATAAGCAATTGCTAGTTTAAAATGTTTTCTTAAAATAAATCACATAAAATGTATATATATGTTTGTTCTTTATTTAAAATAGTTTTGTAGAAAAAAAATTGTTTCACCAGTCTATTTAAAACATGAAGTAAATATCAAATTAGCAAAATGGGAGAATATCAACAGTACAGAGTTATCAATGGCATGGACACAGTTCCAAACTTGATATTTGTAAATAAAAACAAAGTACAGATAACTCTTCAAGAAGTCAGGGATTGATTTAACACTGTATTTATACCATAATATCCTTCCTAAAATGATTTAAAAAAAAAAAAAAAAAAATGAAAAATAAAATCAATATTTTCTAATTTCTGACAAACACTCGTATTTAAAAGGTCCACCAAAATTATTCAAAAAATATTTTTTCCTACTTTCCTTTACAAGCGGATTAGTAGTTCTAGCTTTTTTATCTCTTACCTACAGTGTAAATGATTTAGTATCTTATCAATAATAATTGTTTCCATCTATTCATGTCTATCAGTCTATTCAGAGTCATATCTACTTCGTATCTGTTTATATTTCTGAGACATTATTTACATTATTCAGGCTATTGTCCTCATCTTTGTCACCATATTTATCACTGTGCCATGTGTCCTTGAGGACACATGTCACAGTGGATAAAAGCGTTGCTTAGATCTAGTGACAGGACCCAAAGAGTGTGAGTTCAATACCCGGTTAAGGCAGTGGAGAACTTTCAGAGGGAAATTAACAGGAGATAACTGATAACTGACATCCATTAAACATAGAAAGTGGAACTAGAACAGTCTACCCCAGTGAGTGAAATAAAGAGTTCAGTTCAACATTCCAACCACCTGAAGAAGGCCAGAGTGTACAATGGCCGAAACGTTGTAATAAATATGGCGACAAAGATGAGGACAATAGTCCGAATAATGTAAATAATGTTCATATCTATTTATTAGTGCCTAGAAGCTGACAGCATAGACAGGACGACAAAGTAAATGCCCAGTTTATTATTTATGAATATAAAGTGAATTTAGGTTAAATTTTTACAAGAAATTAATAATCATAAAAATGAATTCAGATAAAAGAAAAGACAAGTGAAATAAGAGTTAAAATGGTGTGACTAATTTCTTGATAAAAAAAAACATTAAAAAAAAAAAAAATTACTAGATTTTATTGAACTTTGGGAAAATAATGAATGAACTCTTTTTGTAGAAATATTTTTAGTTCTGTGATTGAATTAAAATATACATACACAGACACAAAAGTAGATACATACATGCACCCTTTGAACAAAAACATTTGTGTCCTAAGGGCCAAAATGTGCTTTGAAGACATTTTTATTTTCTAATAAAGATTTGTTCATTTAAAATGCTACTATTTAGATTTTAATTTTGATCTTCTTACCATCAGCAACTAGTCACATATAAAAGTTAATTCAATAATGTCATAAGACAAATCAGAGAATATACTGACAATAATTTTTTCATCTACCCACACCACCATTTTTTTTTCCAGTTATTAAAAATTTTAGTCCAAAAAGTCAATAGACACTTAACATTCCCACATTATAAAAGTTTGCAGATATTCAAATATTTAGTAAAAATTAAAGATAGATTACTTCAAACATTATTCTAGAGGAAACTTATTATTTGAAGTAATAAAACTATCAGATTAAAAGATAAATTTATTAATTCTTTACAAATATATAAATATCTCCAAAAGTTTGTTAAAAAAGAATGGATGATGAAAAAAAATGCTCAAAACATAAAAACAAAATTTATCAAAATCTTTGTCTTATTATTAAGAGGAATGATTTGTTGATGTAAATATTTTTTTTTTAAATTCTTCTTAGAAACTTGAAAAATTTGGTTAAGAATCTTGTTTTTTCTGGAATCAATGCAGGGTCCTCAAATTTGTACAGAAAATGTACAATGTAATTTTAATAAATACTAAATTCCTATCTTTTCCTTAAGACAAAACTGTATGGAGGCTCTGCTTAACTCTAACCAGATTTTTAAAAAAAATAAATAAATAAAAAAAAAAAAAAAAAAAAAAAAAAAGGTAAAAAATTTGACCGAACCTCTTCCAAAAACCCACAAAGCACCTGTCCCGAGAGTTGTGTGCCCAGGTAGGCTGTGAGGAGTCGTCTCAATACAGAATGGTTAATTCTTCTTCGAATAGACACCAAGCCACGGATGGCACGTGACATAAAACGTGGCTCCTTGGTAGATACAGCTTTTTCTATGTGTTTAACATGTTCTTTTATATCTGGAAAATTAAAAATGAAAAATAAAGGAATATTAGTTTGGCTCTCCTCTTAAGAAAAACAAATTCACACAATGAATAAAAAAAAAAAAAAAAAAAAAACAGTTACAGTGTAACCCAGATATAAGAGACCTGGATATAAGAGAAACCCGGATATAAGAGAGATTTTCTCTGGTCCCAAATTAGAGCCTGTGTTAATGTATATAAAATAGACCAAACCCGGATATAAGAGAGATTTTCTCTGGTCCCAAATTAGAGCCTGTGTTAATGTATATAAAATAGACCAAACCTGGATATAAGAGAAACCCGGATATAAGAGACTTCTTCTCCGGTCCCGACAACTCTCTTATATCTGGGTTACACTGTATAAAACATCAACCCTGTAAATGAGCATACAGTAATAAATATTACACACACACACACACACTGTTGAAGAAACCTGGATGAATTTTAAGTTTCTGTTGGCAGGAGAACAGAAAAGAAGAAAAACAAAAAGGAAAAGGATACCATTAACATCTATAGATTCCCAAAATTATTATATGGATATTTTGAAAATTTTATAGAAAAAATAAATAATACAAGTAAACATTATGAGCATTGTCAAAATGCACTACACACTCTACTTTGATATTTATCTGAATTTTGAATTACACTATATCAAATTTTACTATGCAAGTCAGTGTTTTCACAATAAAATTAGTATTAACCAACCAATATTGGTAAAAAAAAAAAAAAATTATACTAAAATTTACTCAACTCAAGGCTCAAGACTACTCAAGTTAGAGGGTTACTGTTAAAATGATTATGATGAAGGAGGTGTTATGATACGAGTGAAAGAATAGATGGTAGAAAGTGAAGAATAAGGAGGATAGATAACTATTGATCCTTGAGAACCACTCAAGGCAGAGTGTTACTGTTAAAATGATTATGATGAAGGAGGTGTATGATATGAGTGAAAGAGAAGATGGTAGAAAATGAAGATTATTTGAATGAGAAGGATAGATTAAAATCGACCCTTGACTTGAAAAGATTCAGATTTTCAGCAAATATTTACAGTTTTGTGAGCAATAATATATCAGGTGAATTTTTAAAATTGTAAGCAATTAGAAATATTTTTTTTTAAAACACTCAGTTTATTTGAGCAAGTCATGTATCTGATACAAGGTAGCCACAAAAAAATAAATTAAACTAAATATCTAAAAATATAAATTGAAATATTTTTCAATATATCTTTCCTTTTCAATGCACTTAATTTGATGATAAATAGTAATCACATAGACCAAACATCATCCAGTGAAAATTTCAGATCAACTTTTGAATCAAGAACTTATTTATCTACTCTGAATTTCATTTTATTAAAATTATTATTTATAAGATTTTACTGAAATGTGAGATATCGACTTAGTGTTTTATTATCATCCCATGAAAATAATAACATATCCAGTCAGATGAATAACACATTGGCATAAGCAATAAACTTTGTAGAATTTGTATATTTACAAAAGTAATTTTAAAATAATGACAACTCTTATTTGACAAATAAGAATTGAACACAATTTCTTTTATAATAAATGGAATATAATTTGAAAGAGAGAAGCAACAAACAAAAAAATGATCAAACTTAAAAAATTTTTGTGCTCACTGACAAAATAATAATGCAAATGTAATAAATAGTTGATATTATGCAATATGCTTTCTATTTGATTATATACTACATGCTTTTTATTGTCAAGTTTCTTCTATCACACTTCTTACTTGCAGAACTTCCTTCTGGTTTGTTGCTTCAGTCAACTTTGATCTTCAAAAATTTAAATGTTATCATCTTTTTCTTAATTCTTGTTCTTTCCTTAATAGCTTTTTTCATATTCACTAACACTTTGTATCCTAGTGGCTTTATTGCCTTGCCTGGGATAAAATTATTTAAAAAAAAAAAAAAAAGACTTATGGATGACAAACTGGAAACTATAGCCTTGGTTGGCAACCAGTCTAGAAGAAGTAAAACTCTAAATTCAAAACCAGAGGAGAGTCTTTTGGGGATGCTGCACTTGGCACGTTATGTGCACCAGTTCTCTGTATTTGGTTCTTTCAAAAAAGCATGCTCCATTATAATCAAATCATATTTGAAGGTAATCTGACGGTTCTAATGGACCCTCATATGGCAAAGTAAAGTGACAACCAGTAATATATATATATATATATATATATATATATATATATATACATACATACACACACAATCCCAACAATAGCATTAGCTTAATGTATCCAACATTTTTTTTAACCCAAGCAAAGGTTTTAAACAATAGAAAATATTAAAAAAATACAAAATCAAGCATTTTACAAAATTTTTTATCAGCAATGCTCAGATTTTTTTAAATGCAAATTTTTTTTATACATTCCAACAAATTTCATTTGATAGGAAGAAAATACTAGTGTTGCTTGCTGTACAGTTACATTATAACAAAATTAAAGTGTTATAAAAAGTGTACACAAGTCCTATTGTCATTGCAAAATTGTATACCTCTTAAATTGTTACCAATATGTGTAGCTACAGGTGTATGCAGTGAATGTAGATAAATGAAGTCTTTAGTCTTATATAGTTAACAAGAATAACTTCTGAAAAAAGTGACTTATTTCATTGATGAACAGAAGTGGATAAGTCAGTGGCTCTCAACTGGGGATCTATGGTAATATTTTAGTGGCCTATAGAGCAAATTTCACTTCAGAACAGTTGTCACAACTGAGAATTGGAATTTAAACAGTAATCTACATCATATAAAAATACTAAAAAAAAAAAAAAAAACCACCCCTAAAATTTTACTCTACTGGAGGTTTTGATTGTAAAACTTTAATAAAAACTGTGAAAGGTATATAAAGGAAAATTATATAAGATTCCTAAACCTATCTATTAATAATAAATAAAATAAGCTTTTTTTTCTTTCTTTTTTTTTTCCAGTGGTTATGGGGATCCACCCCACAAAATAAAGATTAAAAATGATCCATGGGTAAAAAAAAAAAGAGTGAGAAGCATTGGGACAAATACTTAAGTTGCCATCACACAGGCCCTAGTAGTAAGAACATTATCTGATGTGGCATTTTAATCAGCAAGATAAAAAATGTGTTTCTTTTTAAAATCATAGTGTTCATATTAATTATGCAATCCACATAAAAATTAACAGGAACTTACCTCCTCATTAATATTTGTACATTCGTATCAATGTAAGAATTTGAAAATTTATGGTTTCATGGTTAAAAAGTCACCTGCAAAAATGTACCAAAATTGTAACCCCAAATTACTGGGCAGAGTAGAAATATTATTGGAGGCTTTTGGTGCCACACAGAAACCAAAATTCTTAACCTTTTCTATACACTTTAAATTTCAAGATTTCAATTTTCTTGTAAAGTGTAAATGCCTATATGTGTACCGAGTATTACTGTGGCAATAATAGTAAACAATTGCATAATCATCATTGTATCTAGAGACTAAAAACAAAGTAGATTCCGCTTAGAAATTTAGGTTGAAGCCTTGCTAAAGCATTCATAAAACTGACACCATCAGTTATCGTATCAATGGCACAGAATCCATTCAAATACTTTGTTAATACTGACAAGTTGAAAAAAATTGCTAAATTAAAAAAAATAGAAAATATTTTTTTCTTTCTCTCATAATATTCTTTATTTTCTGATAAGATTTCTCTAAAGAACAAATGTAAAGATCTCCAATTACAATTTGTGATTGACAAGCAAAGAAATAGACAAAAGACGATAAGTATCTGCTTTGGTTTTTAAATAAGAAAGAAGGTTTACTTATTATTTTATTTGTTTATTTATTTATTTTTTACATATAAGAAAGAATCAAACAAAAGGAATGTTGGACAAACAATGCAGCCTTCTTTATTTCATTAAAAATGATTTTGTTTTGTGTCTATCAGCATTAATCAACATCACCACCATAAACCCTGTCTTGTATTTATCTCAATGCATAAAATGCCTGGTGTTGTCAACAACAAGATAGCAACATAGATTGCTTATCTTTTCAACTGATCTTTTCACAGAAAAAGAAAATAGGAGAGAAAGTGAGAAAAAAAAAAAAATCTTTTTTTTAAGTTGAAATTCAAATCAAATACAACTCAGATTTTCAAGACAAAGATTTCTATATAAAAAAAAATACATTATATATATATATATATATATATATATATATATATATAAAATTCTGGTTTTATAAAAAATAAAAATTGCAAGTTGCTATCTGAGTAAGTTTTTAAAAAGCGAACGGAAAGAATTTACAAATAAAACTAAACGTGTGTGTGTGTGTGTGTAAGCGGCAGTAGCAAAATGAAGATGATAGTTGATAAAGAAAGTGAAAAAAAAAAACACCATAAGAAAATTTTATCTTTTTAAACATTCTAAAAATAATTCTGTGAAAAGTATAGAAATCAAAATTTCAACTCCAGAATTTCTTTTTGCAAATAAGAATTGAATACAACTAAAATCTTTATTGATCAAAGGGAGACATTCAAAAGTAGAAATTCTTTTGTAAGCAATCTGAAATTGTGTGTGTGTGTGCGTGCACTAGTGACATTTATAATAGCAATGTTGTGAAAATGTCGGATAAGTGAATACAAACCCTGCATAATGCAAGGCTACTATTCTTTATTACATATTTACAATATAACAACATTTACATTTATTGAGGATGTCTCAAGGAAACAACAAATAAAAAAAAAGGAGAAAACAAAGAAAATCAGCATTAGGTAAAAGTTTATAAAATGTTACATTTGTCAGAAGACATCAGAGAACACATGTGCAATTCATTTACAAGCAAAATCTCAACTTACATTAAAAACAATATAAATCTCATGCAGTATAATTTTATTTCTAAATACTACAGATGCTTTAAAATATTTAACTGCTAGGTGGTAACATTTAATAACCACATATGTTTGATTTCAATAGCCTCCTCTGACTAAACTTTGGATACAACTGCAATTCCACAAGAG